TTAAGAGGACTGATTTCGTAGTAGATTGGTCCAGATGAATTATTCTCCATTGCAACTCTGCCTTCTAAATTAAAATTTACCTGTAATATTGACGGTTTAAACCAACAGCAGCATAGCTTAGATGTATCATATACCCGTGGTCGCTCTTATGAATTGTTTGGATAGACACGCCTGGACGACTAGTTATACATCACATGAGTGTGGCACAGAATAACATTGTGTAACCTCCACAATACGTCAGATAACTCGAATATGATTAACGTATTTAGTTCCATCTTGCAAAATGCGTGATCATGCATACGCACGAAATATCTAAATACTAGGTCGTTGAAGAATAATAAAGATTCTGAAAAATTCAACTAATTTTTGTACCAGGAGTTATTTTCGAAATAACATTATTCATTTTATACCGGAACTAAACAAAAGTCGCGAGTTGATTTGTGCTCGACGGTTGGTATGAGCCCTAAAATAACGCGAGTTTTAAGATACTGTATAAGAATATTTTTCTGTCACAGAAAATAATTTAGTTGGCCGAAATCTGTTAGCGGTTAAAATTCGACAATTACTCTAGAACAAAAAAAAAACGAAAGATAAGTTTTGTTCCTCAGAATGTCAGTTTAAAAGTTTGTATATAACATTCTTCTCATTCAATATAACTTAGGTATAGAATATTTCGACAAAAGTTTTTTTTCCAGAGAGAAATTTGTAGTATTCAATATGTGTCTCGAATATGGTGACTGCGTCTATATATTCAAGCTGTTCTCGTGTAGGCAAGATAAAGCCAATAATTCGAAACAGTTGTCTGTGGATAAGGTAAGCAAGGCTATAAAATAAGTCAAAGTGGAAAAGCATGGCATAAAGAGTAACTCACGGATAGATGAATAACCTTAGTAAGCCATGATAAATTCGTGTGCCGAAATACTGTACCTGTAAATACTGTGCCTGTATTTTAAAAAATGAATTCGAGTTCATGAATTTGAATCGCTTTTATGCTTTGCTGAGTGTTACCAGGTTCTCAAATTCCCATTATATTTTAAAGATGATTGCTGGATACAATACGAATAAGAAAAGTATTTCTGAAATTTGCATAATATCCCATTTTCCGCCAGTATCGCATTATTATTATATTGCAGTTTCCTAAAATTGCCAATTTAAGATCCGATTTTCTGAGTTCATTTTGCACCGTTCATTTTCAGAAAACTTTTTTTTAACCAACAGGCTTTAAAACTTCATTCGTAGCTTTTTAAAAGCGTATGCTCAAGTTCTGTATGACGAGATAACGCTAAAGGTTTATTCTTCTTGATGTCATTTTACATGATATGCGACCTAATATCCAAGAATCTGTAAAGGTTTAGCAGATAAGGGCTTCTGTGTAGTGTAAAGGTTTATGCGTTAATTATAGATAATTAACTTTACTGTTCTTGTGGCATTTTCAAACAAAACAAAACCTCAACCTTTATTATAGCTAAAATCGTTACTGAAAAAGTCACAATTATATTTACGGAATTTGCAAAGTCAGCGCTTCACTTGACAATTCTCATGACGTCATGCCCTTATTATTACTGCAAATCAGCTTCAAAATGAAGGGAATGTAATTATTTTCGAAGAGAATTGGCGCAACAAATCGTAAGTAAGCCAATATGCGTCGTTACAACGAAATTCGTGATGGATTTCAAGTTATATTCTTGTTCACAATTTAAGCTGATATATCTGCTGGCCTGATGGGGCTGATAAGCTGGAGTGCGCATAAGCACGGAAGGATCGTTGTAAAGCAAGCTTTCGAGATAGAACTGGAAAGACGTTGCGGATATAGGAAGATGCATTTCTACACAATTCCCATTTCCAATTTTTTCAAAGCAAGTTTGGGAATTGAATGACAGCATAAGAACGCCAAGTATAAAGAACACGCTATTTCTTTTTACTGTGTCTATCAAAATTAATCCAGTGGATCAGATTCAGAATGTTGAAACTAATTATACTATTTTCTTACTTTCAAAAATATTTACACTTACTTATTCATAAAATATTCGTAGAATGAACATAAAATCCTAGACCAGTTATATATGCTTCCTATTTCGATGTATGATGGCGAATGTCTATATTTCCTAATTAAATACATGTTTAACCTTATTTTGTGAAGAGATATCGAGATGCGTATGATTTTACCAGTCATCGTACTGAAGCAAATTTTGTATTGCATTTGAAAACGTCCAAACGACTGTGTGCTATCGTATTTCAATTCACCACCCCACGCTAGAAATCAGCTTGTCGCACTTCATATTGCAATTCTGATGATATTTAATATCAAGTTTACACAAAAAATGTTTCGCAATAAAACTAATCTTTTTTATATGATGTTTGTTTCAATTATTGTCCAGATTAATTGATCTCGAGTCGCTTAGGTATATCATAGCTACGCAATTTTATTGATTGTGAGGCATACACAATAACTCTTCATTACGTGACGACGTACAACGTTTTTCACCTTCAAATTATTGTACAAACGTTTTAATCAATTTCAAACGAGATATCGTTTGTATTGCATGAAGCAGGCATGTGTACGTTTTCGGATAAATATGGCTAAAATAATTGTCAAACCATACAATTCTTTGTATGATGATCCCAATTTGGTGATCAGAGTGGTGAATCTAGGGTTAAATGAGAAAATAACTATACAATCATGTCAGACGAGTGATAAAGGAAGAGAATTTCATGCTTATGCATATTACATAACTGACGACAATGAAAAGTTGATGTTTCGGTCGATTCTTCGTTTGGAGGATATTACACCGGCGTGGAACCGTTGGGACTATTATGGGCAATGAGAATAGTTCCGGGACCAAAACAGAAATTTTCGTCTTTAGTTAAGCAAGATGCAACCACACCTGCTTTCATTATATATAAAGTGTATAGAGGTCACATTGACATTGATCAAATTGGAAGCATAAATATGAGAAAGTGTTTGATGGCGTCTTCTAAATTTGAAAGAAAATTTGCGAATTCTAACATTCGTCGGTTCGTTGTAAAAGAAGGTGATCTCAGAGGTGTTATATTTGTTCCTGAACAAAAAGGTTCTTTTATGGGTGTTATAGATTTAGGAGGAGTGAACGGTGGGATGGTAGAAATGCGCGCGGCACTACTTTCAAATTACGGATTTGTTGTACTGAGCCTAAGTCTCTTTGGCGCTTTCGATCAGATAAAAAAAGTTTCTCACGTTGATTTGGCGTACATTGAAAGAGGGGTCAAATATCTTCTTTGCCACGAGAAAGTTTTTAAAGATGGGGTCGGGGTGTTGGGAGTTTCATTTGGAGGAAGCGCTGTATTGGCTGCAGCAACATTTGTCAAAGATATAAAGTGCGTTGTGAATATTAGTGGTCCTCTTTCTGCTTCTGGTTTTACAAATTTCAAATATGGTGAAAAAATATGGATGCCCACGGAAGAAAAGATTAATGGACATCCAGTGATTGACGGCATACAGCGTCCATCGTGCATGATACAAACTCCACAATATCTAAAAATTCATAAGCACTTCCCAGAATTTCAAAAATCGGAGGCATCCATACTTTTTATATACGGCGAAGATGACAGATCAGTGAACTGGAAAGAACAGTCAGAACTTGCTATACAGCTAATGAAATCTTCAAACAAGACAAATTATGAAATAAAATCGTACCCCGGAACTGGCCATATGATCTTTCCCCCATACGTACCCATGTTTTCTTTGGCGTATATCTTGCCAACGGCCAACTATCCCACCTACCTCGGTGGTACATCGAAAGATCATGCATATGAGGCTAATGCATGGAAACACATTATCAGCTTTTTGAAAGAACATGGGAACAAAATGAGATAACAATTTCACTCTCGAATCACGTTTGTGAGTTCTAAACACCGGAGTAATAAATAAATAGTGGAACGTGTGTTTCCGAATATATTTATACAGCGTACATTTTTTAAATTGTTCCAGTATTTTATTTAAAATATTGATACAAACGAGCATGATGTTGTTAAAAGTCGAAGTTTGAAAAAATAGACGCAGAGAAAAGGTATTATGTGTTTGGCTGACCACCTGTACTAATATATACAGTATATGCCTCTTTCTGGATATTCAAGAACAATTATATTCCTGTTAATAATAATAAAATTACAGGAGGAGGATGTTTTAAATTTTATATGGACGTTCACCACTTATGAAAGGGATGTAGGAAAATTACTGTGTGACATCATATTAAAGAGAAGTGACAAGGGTCAATTTTCAAGTAATGGGTTAATAAAGTTATTTTGAACTAATTTGCTTGTATACACAGACTATTGTAACAACCTGTACAAATATTACGTTTCCTAGTCAGTCTGCTAGTAGGGCATAGAAAAAAATATAGTCCAATTTCAGGAAGGCGTCAAAGTAATAGAAAACCAGCTAATATTATAATATTTCTTGATGTTATGGCTGTGGACTGACAAAAATAGAAATTTGGACCAAGTCCGTCTTGATATCGTCACAAAAGCTACAAAATGGAACTGCACAATAAAGCATGAGATTGAATTTATCGAAAAAAAAATTCTTATTCACTGAAGGGCAAATTTCAATATGACGTTAAAGAGCTCCCAAAGTTTTGAAACAAATCTATTAGTTGTGTTTAATAGGTTTTAGAGTTTTGGGTAGGTGATCGAGGGTATTCGAGTGTGCGGGATTAGGTCAAGGGCCGTGTTCCCTTCAAAGTGTGTGCGTGTGCGCGCGCACATAGCTTTCAGAGGCTGCGCACACGCATAGATTTACTGCGCACAGACGTATTTCGATGTAATGTAACCATGTTCTCGGTTGGCAGGTTGAGAAAGTTTGTTGTTGGCCCACCCATTATCCGGTTAGAACGCCAAAATTTCTTCATAGATTTTTGCACAAATATTAGTAATTTCCAAAAAAGTGCGCACACACCAAAATTTCGCGCACACATACTACAAAAAATTAAGGGAACATTGGTCAGGGGACATGTTGGTTAGTGGTCGCGATATGCTTGGCAGTTAACAAAAGTGACTGACTCTCTGTCGACCTTCCGTGGCTGCAAAAACTTTTAATACAGACGCTAGATGCCATTGGAGTTATACAAAAAATGCCAAATTTACGTACTTCTTTGTATTTTTTCATACTCACGGCCCTCATTTGTTCATTCTACATATTACTGTGTCCTGATCTAAAATAAGAGTTCATTATAGTAACTTTATGATATAATTTACTTCCTGAACAGACGTAATTTTGAACGATCGTGTAAAACTAGCTAATTTTCCTCAAAGTTTATAGTTATAATTTATATGAAGACAAAAATGTCTTTTTCATTTAACTATTGAATCCAACCAGTTCAAATTTTTGAGCCATTTTTTAAACTGGCAGTTGTAAGCCGTCAACAAGAGATTCACAAAAAGTCGTCTGTGGGCAGCAGAGGTGTGTTGGTTCACCACAGTGACTGGTCATTTATGTTTGGAGCGTTAAAGTACGATACAAGGGCTTATCCAATAAGAGCATTCAACATATAGTTGCCGCATTGTGAGGGAGACGAGGAAATCAATCTTAAAATCAGAGAACAATGCCCCACCTGCAATAAGACTTGTACGGATAATGAAAGGCGGATTTACTCAGTGAGACATTTTACTGTAGCATACTATTTTGTGCTTGCTAGGGAAATTGAAATTAGTATGTCGTATGTTAGTAACAAAATATCAGCTTGAACAAAAATAAGAGCAGATGTTACTTATATACGTGTTTTCTTCTTTGATCCCATATTACTGTATATTCCAGAATACATTTTATTAGCTTCTCTTATTAGCTGAGCACCAAGATTGCTGTCAAGATCAGAGAACAGGTGTGGCAAGGTACAATCCGCTGTTTAAAGGTTGTATAATATCGGCATTTGTGTACGTATTAGATATATATAATGTCCGAGAATTGACTGACTAGAGTTTGATAAACTTCGTTGACCGAGTCTGACTAGTAAGCCGACTCTTTGCCCTCAACGCCAACGCGAATGATTAGACGTTAAAAAATCCATATTTGATTTTATTTGTAGATTTTCAAAAAACACTGAATGCAATCCTAAAACTTCTCAAGACTTGAAAACGTGATCTCATGATCACGTCGTAACAGAAATTCTTATTACCTCAATATGGGCAATTATGTACGCCGTACGGATAGGAAACGTGATTATTAGCTTTATAAATTAACTTATGATCTAGTACACTACGTGGCGCCAGTAACATTTATTGCTATCGAAGATGCATCTTTGGAGAATCACTGCTTTTTGATTCGCATACTTTTTCACTATAATTTAATATATAGGCCAGGCTCTAATAATATTGTCCATATGTTTTGGCTATGTGAGTACATATCATGTAAAGTTTACGTTATTGACTATGCACGCTCGCATGATGTACAGCACGATTTTGCTTTCAACAATTCAAAAGATGCATGTTAAAATATCAGCCGCATGTTGACTGGATTACAACCAAATTTCAGTAAAGTATTTCGTATTAAATGCATTGTGGCAAGCTGCCTATATGTACAATAACTAGTCTTTTAGCTTTTTATGTAAGTAATGAAATAACGCACATACCGAGCGCAAAATCTTTATCAAAATATTTGAAAATTCAACACATTTTCCTGTTTTATCACTCGAACTCGATTTGTTTAGGTATATTTAAATAACTTTTAATAACTATAAATAACAGATAAATGTTAGAAAAAAAAAAATACTTCTATGTATTTGATAATACCACACCTCATTTAGAAATATCAACTCAAAATAACTTATCAACGTATTTAAAAAAATTCTGCTTTATAGATAGTCCACTTTTAAAGCACGATGACATTGGTTAATTAAGTAAGTACAATGGTAAAAACTTGTTTTTAATGTGGAGAAAGAATCGAAAGATAAATTAGGTCTTGCATTTTACAATAGGAGAGATTCTCGTCTCACAGCTTAATGCAGGAATTGTGAGAGAAGGGTTTTTTGATATTTCTGTAATGAGAAAATGCCTTATAGGCTATGTTGTTTCCGTGAATTTGATTATAAGTAGTTTTTCTAGACGCACTATTATTTAGAACTGCAAGTTTTTGTTGTTAATGCTGGACTGTTGTTGTTTATCTTGTGTGAATACGATTTCCCAAATCAGGATTGTTTCGCCCCACCAAAACATGATGTTTATGCAGGTTTCCCTTTTTTTTAGTAGTTTTCAATGTTTATTCCAGTAACAATTGCAGAATTGTTTTATACAGAATCCTTGTTTACTCTACCAAATAATATGGCCAAAATCTTAGTCAGCCCTTATAGTTCCTTATATGATGATTTCTCAGTTGGTAATCAAGGTAATAAATCTTGGAAGAAATGAGAAGGTAACATTACAATCGTGTCAGACGAGTGATAAAGGAAGACATTTTCATGCTTATGCATATTACTTGACTGATGATAATGGGAACATCGATGTTTCCGTCGATGCTTCATTGGAGGATATTACACCGGCGTGGAACCTTTGGGACTACTTTGGGCAATGAAAATAGTTCCAGGACCGAAGCGAAGATTTTCCTCTTTAATTAAACAAAATGTCACCAAGCCTGCTGTTATTTTGTTGAATGTTTATCAAGGTCACATTGATATTGACAAAATTGGAATCAAAGGCGTTAACAAGTGTTTGATAGTAACTTCTATATTTGAACGAAGAATAATGAAATCAAATATTCGTCGGTTTAATCGTTGAAGAAGATGATCTCAGAGGAGTTATATTTGTTCTCAACAACAAGGTTCTTTCATGGGTGTGATAGATTTAGGAGGAGTGAACGGTGGAATAGTAGAAATGCGCGCGGCACTACTTTCAAATTACGGATTCGTTGTCCTGTGCCTAAGTTGTTTGGGCGCTTTCGATCAAATGAAACAAGTTTCTAGTGTAGATTTGGTGTACATTGAAAGAGGTATCGAATATCTTCTCCGTCATGAGAAAGTTTTAAAAGAGGGGGTTGGCGTATTGGGAATTTCATTTGGAGGAAGCGTTTCATTGGCTGCAGCAACCTTTTTTGAAAATATAAAGTGTGTTGTGAATATTGGTGGTGCTCTTTCTGCTTCCGGCTTCAAAGATTTAATATACGGCAACAAGATATGGACGCCAACGGAAGAAAAACTTAATGGGCATCAGGTGGTCGACGGCATACAACGACCTTCGTGTATGATACTAACTCCAAAATTTCTGGAAATGCATAAACACTTCCCTGAATTCCAAAAATCTAAAGCAAGCATTCTTTTATTTACGCTGAGGACGATAAATGTATAAACTGGAAAGAGCAGTCAGCACTAGCTAGAAAGCTGATGAAATCTTCAAACAAAATGAATTATGAAATAAAATCGTATCCGGGAACTGGTCACATGATTGGTCCACCATACGTACCGATGTTTTCAATGACTTATCTTTTGCCAATGTCTAAATTTCCGACATATTTAGGCGGCAACTTGAAAGAGCATGCATATGGACAAGCTTATTCGTGGAAATATATTATTAAATTTTTGAAAAGTCAAGAAAACGAAATGAGAAAATTTGATTTGCCTCTCAAATCACTTTTATAAATTTTGGTCTCAACAGGATATTATCGAATGTACTGAATCCGAAATTTTTTCTGGCACAACTTCACAGTTATATTCTTAATGTTTAAGAAAAATATTGCTTTACTTCAATATACAGTTATTACTTCAATCACGCAATACTAAAAATATCGTTTCAATTTCATCAGTTAATTATCACAAATCATGGCATGACATCAGGTTTTGCGGGTTGCAAGAATTAGATTTTTGATTACTTCCGAAATTGGTTGTATGACGTGATACCAAGTTACTTTGATGAGATTAGCTAAGGACTTTTTATGAATTCATTCAAAGCGGGATTAATAATTTTTTATGTTAAAAATAACTTGGATATTTCTAAGTAAACGGCAGGAATAATTAATTGCTCTGTTGTGCATTGCTGAAAGATGTCTCTCAGTTAGAGATTTAAGGACTTAGACTGGATACTATTAATATCATCCCTATCTATATTTGAAATATTCAGAACAGCTAATCTTTATTTTTAAAATAACCGCCAATGTTTCTGTCGTTGTTTGCCAAAACCACTCAAAATGCGTTCTTTTGAAAAAGTCGTTCTGGTTAGACAATATTTTAATTTATGAAATATTTATATTTCACTGTTAAATTTGTTTTATTAAACTTTTCTATATTTATTCAATAAATATCAAACTTATCTCAAGAATAAATATATATAGTACGATGGATATGGTTGTGTGCATGCATATGTGTGTAATATTTACCATATAAACCCTTGTTATTTTATTGATAAATTGGATGTTTTTGTTGATACGACGACTGCATATACTCATTGACAATCCTGGGCACGTCCGAGACGTTCCCAGTTGGGCAAATAAGTTACAAGAATGATAATAATAATGAAATTATTTGAGCCCAGCCTTCAAGAATAAACCTCAGAAAATTTGTCATTTAATATCAGATATACTTTATTAAAAATTGTAAACGAAATCGTTGATATATTAACTATTGAAATGTTAAGCATTAGTTTTTCGTGTGTTCATCCACTATTTGGCTCAAGTTTGTATTAACGTCTCTTAAACTGCTTCAAACCTTCAAATCTCGTGAATTACTGTGTAAAATAAAAAATTTCTGTTTGAATATTTCATTGCTTTTTGATTTTCATGCAATAGACGGAATGCAACAACCTGCAAATGGGCGCTCGTGTTCAAAAATGTTTTTTTTTTATAAATTTCTATATTGACTTCTATAGTATCTCATCCCGAATAAAACAATTTCACTTACCTAATTAAGCGATACATAACTAACTGACATAACCAAACTGATTTAATATGAACTTTATGGATACAACTATTTGGAAAAATAACGAAAATAAGAAAAATAAAATTTGGGCAAAATAGGTATTGTTTTCATATGTGAATGGCACAAAATCGGATGAGAATTTTTTTTTTAAATTAAGTTGACTATATTAGAAAAGCATTGCATAATTGAAGATATTCATTACATTTAAAAAAGTTTTTCTCGATCTCAAATCAACGGGTTCGGCATTTCATTTTTCAACACAATAATAAAAGCATAATTGAAAACACCAAAAGTAAATATTGAAAAGATTCAAGCTGAAATTAGTTAAGGCAAAGAGGCCGAAGTCGGGGAAACCTGAAAGTGATCAAAATACTGCGAGTTCAGATACTTTAAATATATATACTAAAATATGCGAGTTTTTCCCTTATAATCAGCCTATTGTTATGTTCCATCTGTGGCGTTTTTATTTTTTATGTTATTATTTTCATATATATATGAAGCGCAAATAAATAACAAAACAATTTATGGTTTCTTGCTTTTGGTTACTGCTTCAGATCTGCGTTTCGTTAACCATGGTCCACGCTTAAGGATAGGGGTGTGTTTGTACTAAATTAAAAAGCACAAAACTTTCCCCCCAGATGAGGAGGTGCCTCATTGAACTGAAAGCGCGACCAGGGTTGCATGCGTCATGCGTTTGGACCACCCTGAGTTAGGTAAGACATGAGTTAATCAGATCAACTCGTCCGCTCGAACGAATCAGTATAGATTTCAAAGCTTTGTTTCCGATGTGCCGTATCATTTTGGCGAACACGGTCGTTTTCAAATTGTCTGCTACAGTGATACAGTGTCTTTCTACTTTATTTGAATGGTACCTAAATAGTACATAGCGATAGCGGTCATTTTTATCAAGAAGTTAAGGAGTTTCTTGTAAAGCAAAGCGTACCATTCAACTCCACCACCATACAGGAAGAAGGGCGCAGTGTGAAACGATCAATCAGACATTATAGTATAACATAGAGGTAATACTGGCGTCGCAAAATTACCAGAAGCCGCCTGGTAAGAAATTACGTAAGATAATATCTTCAATATTTACTAGTACAAGCTCGACTCCTCATGAACGATGACTTGGCTTTTAACGACGATCGAGTCGGGGTTTACTTATCTACTCTCGAAAGATAGTATATTACATCGAAAGTATATTTGGACAAAGACTGAACCTCTCTCTACGTTTACGCGATAGAGAATCACTAGGATGAAAGAAAGGCGATTGATTCTGTAAAAACACCTACACCGTTTCCTGACCAATCAAAATCTGAATTCAGTGTAACCTTCTTTCCTAAAATGGCATACTAATTGATAGTGGCTTACCTAAAATTAATTCCACTGTCACTGAAAACTGTCGTAGTAGCTGTATAGCACACTTCTTTCTCGCTCTAGTATAAAAGAATACGAAAGAATAGAAGGGAATGTTTTACCTTTTATGATTTACGAACAACTCCGCGAACGCCCCACAACCATGAAATACCCACATTATAATTGCATATATTGTGAAATTAGAAACCTTAATGAAACCATCAACTGGACATTAGCTAAGACTGTTGAAATTCGGGTTAACGATTCAGCGCGTTACTTCAACCATTAGTCTTAAATTAGTCAGTCGCCTCATTGAGATTTTATTAGCGTCGCGTTGCTATTGACAAAAGCATGGAATAGCACGTGATACACATTGCACAATAGGAATTAAAATTCAAAATTTAGGTGCTCCCGAAGTATGCGAACCAAGATGGCGGACATCGGAACGCAACATGGGTAACAGGTTAGGGTTAGGCGATAATTTTTTTCAAATTTTCCTTATTTTAGTCCAATTATCAGTTCGAAGACTAGCCAAGAGCCTTCCGTAGTATTTATACCTAAAATTATGGCCTAACCCTAACCTAGTACACATATTACATTCCGATGTCCGCCATCTTGGTTCGCATTCTTCGGGAGCCCCAAAATTTATTTATTTAGGCTCAAGTATTTTCGTAAAATCACTAATCACAAATATTATTAGTTTCTCATATACCAAACACATAATGAAGAGATACAATTATTTATGTTCGAGTGTATAAAGCGTGTTATATGGAGCAAGGATTAGATCATTGTTGTTATTCATAAAAATCATACATGATTATACATGCCATCTTGAATTTAGTCGTAAAACAAATATTTATTGCCAACGATCAAAGAAGAATTGTTATTAAGAAGCCCTTAATCAGTTACATCCATCTAATGATTTTCAAAATTATAAATAAGGTGGAGGAATAATATCATCGCAGTCTTTAACTCGTCTATTCTGATCATCGTAAAATTCGGCTTTACACCCGCTACAACCGTGTACTCGACATTTTGCTCCAGGATATTTTCTGCAGACTAATCCTTCGCAAAGGTTTATGCACTTATGCATTGGTTCATTGGGGTCACACGGTCCTAAAAATAGCAAATGTCGAAGTATGTAAAGGTTTAATTAGCAATATAAAAAGTTTATGAACAATTGAGATTAATAAAAGCTGTGTTTCCATCAAGCACTTTATTAAGCGTGACTAATCCAATGATATTTGGGTTGCGTGTGTACCAGGTTAGGGTCAGGCCATAACTTTATTCCAATTTTCTTTATTTTAGTTCTATTACGTGTTCGGGGACTAGCCAACTGACTCCCGCAGTATTTGTAGCTGAAATTATGGCCTAACCCTAACCTGGTACACCTACTACGTTCCGGTGTCCACCATCTTGGTTTGCATACTTCGGGAGTACCGCAAAATTAATGGGCCACTCATATTATTGTTTATAGACATGATACAAGCGCTCAACTTTTGACAAAGCTATTTTCGAAATTAGTATGCAGGCAAAATTAACGATATAATGATATTATGAATTCTTATGCAGATGGTTTTACTCACTTGGTTTTGCAGTGCAATGAGTCCCACAGAACAAATCACAACACATGTAACCGCTTCTGCAGTCACTGTTTGTATCACAAATCTTCGGACAAGCTGTTTGAGAAACTGGTGCAATAGGTGCCGGGCAGCGATAGACTTGGTCTAAAGAAAGAATGCAGTAATAGAAAATGATTTCCAAAAGTCGACGACCAGAATACCTAATCAAGGCTGCTCGGAAAATGACGGATTTATGTATTTTTAAGACCACGTGTAGCCAGAATATTGTGCGTACTGTATTTTCAGCAGGCTTCTCGCATGAAGGCAATTTCCTCGGTATCGAGTATTCAGACAGGTGAAGATATATATATAGAACACGCTACCATTTTTTAATTGTGTTATTCAACATGTACAATAACATAGATGCACTTTATTCTTACCAGGCACTTCTTGACATTCTGTACCGCGTCCATTTGAGCAACATATCTTGCCATTACGACAGTCAAGATTTGACTGGCACCGCTTTCTAGGACGTCCAGGCTTTTCCGTAACTATTTGACATCTAGGATCCGTGACTAAAGTCATAAGAAAATAGTAGTAAGTAACTTTTAAAACATTAAAACTGGTGGCATTGTTTTATTTATTTAGTTGAGGCATTATAAAATAAATTTTTACTGCTCTGAAAAGCCAAGCTTTTGAGTTTTCAACGAAACTTTAAATACAGCTAAAGGATCTTGGCTCAATCAGTGCAAGCGATGTTTGTGGTATGAATACGACTTCGAAATCACTTTGTAGCTAATATTGAATCCTTAATATCTCAAATTTAATCCGGAAGTATTTTTGATATAGGTTGGTCATATCGTATGAATTAATTTTTAAAAATGCGGCTAACAATACTCAAGAGATTAACGTAATCGCAAGGAGAGTTATCGAATTGTATTGAAGTAAATAAATTGGCCTTTAAAAGTGACGAACAAACATGTGTTCAATGACAAATTGGGGATAAATACGTACTTTTGAAGACGGCTTTTCTGAGTCTGTTTTATATGGTCATTTTAAAACAATTTTTATCCGTCAACTACTGGACGATAAAACTTCAAGAATGGCTTCTAGGGGCATATGCTTATGTTCGATTCCACAAGTTGGCGCTAACGATCAATTTTTGGTAAATATTCCATACATGCCAGCCAAATTTGTAAAAAAAAAACATAATAGAGTTACGTGTGTGTCCAGCGAAGGCTAAGTGATAGTTTTGTTATCTAATTATCTTTAGTCCTAATCTCATGTAATCTTTAGTGCTCTCATGTCATTTTCCGAAAAAGATACCACAATATTATTATATATGGACGGAACGACCACCTGTCATTACGTATTTGAGCTTCGAGTGATTTACATCATCGTTGACCAAAGTCATTCAATCATTCTAAAATTCGAATAAGAAATACTCACATGGAGGTGATATACAATTTTGTTGACATCCGTTACTGCAACAGATATTCCCCCTTTGGCAAACATCATTAGAGAAGCAGGATGGGTGAAGGCAACGTCGAGCATGAAGTGTTCTTATAATTTCTGGATCTGGCGCGGGGCAACGTTTATCTAAAATATTTTTCAAGATATAAAAAATGAACTAATTACATATTTTCAGTACAGTGTTTCGCATGACGTTGTGCTCTTATAAGTAGCGCAATTTAACCAATGAGGCGATATTGACGGATTTGTCCAATGCCATGTAACAATTATTTCATCGCTGAAGAATAAGATAACTGATCCCAAAATTTAACTAAATCAATTAAACTCTATATTATTACCCAATAGTGGATATACACAAGTTGAACCACATCCGTTGCTACAGCAGATTTGACCTTCCCGCTTGCAGTCACTGTTAGAAGAGCATGAAAAGATGCAGATTCCGGCTTGATCTCTTTGAACACTTGGGGCATTTTGGATCAAATTCTTGAAACAAAAAATCATGAAAAAAAATCATAATACTCATGGAGCAAAGGAAGAAGTAGAAAGTGCATGGAATACTGAAAGAAAATACATGAAAATTAGCAAGTTTAGTAAACGAAAGTCTTGTGAAGTAATTTCTATAAATAAGTAATTATGTCATTATGCTACAAAATAGGAGACTCAGATGTACAAACGTTTTAAAGTAGTGTGCTCATATTGATGCTTCTAAAACGACGGTTAAGAGAACTAAAATCAATTTATAATAACACATACTGTATCCGCCGCATTTACTCTGACATTTCTGCAAAGTTTCGAAGTTGTTGTCATTTCCCTCACACCCTCCGTAGAAGAATTGTTCACATGCTTGACTTTTAGTGTTGAAAAAATACCTTGAAATCGCGGCTTCACAGGGTCCTGAATCCTTTGGTTGCTTACAAACTGACATAAAATGAATTATATATCATGCAAATTTGATCGTGAGAATAATCATAAAGGTATACACAGGCTGATGCACGATAAAAATAACTGCGGAACTCGTGAATCAGTAAACTAACTAGATACATGAATTGTAACGCGGTTTGATGTTTGGAAATAACGGCTTGTACTGACGAAATGTCATCACTATGAGCAGATTTATATTTGTATCAGACACATAGAAGATTCATTCACGTTTGTATAATAATTTCATCGGATCGTTGGTACAAAGCACCACCGAAAACGATTAAAATAAGAATATTAGTAATTTTCCGGGTTAGAAAGGCAGATTGCGGTGGAAATTCATATTTTTAAATAATTTCTAATTCTAAACCTAACCTTAACTGAACAATTACAAATTTGGTATTTCAAAACGTGGCAGGGGTGTTTTTCTTCAATCTCACATTTTTGCATTAGTGGCGGGGGCTTCGTAAAAAGGGCCGTTTCATCTTCTGCTGAACAACTGAATCAAAGCATCTTATCAGAATTGAAACTTCTCGAAATAATTCTAATCATTTTTGGTATTTTTATACAACAATATATTACACTGTACTTACTGTCGTGACCACAAGTTCTTTGACATTTCTTCAAAGTTTTGAAATTATTTTCGTTCCCTTGGCAACCGCCATAGATGAACCGTTCGCATCTTTTGGATTCAGTGTTGTAATAATATCTTGGCATATTGGCTTTGCACGGTCCTGGATATTTTTCTTGCTTGCATACTAATATGAAAATAAATGTAGTGACGAAATATAACACTGAAATACGTATGCATATGTATAAATTTAACCATTTTTCCGAGAAAAAGAAGAAGTCTGCAGCTCTTGAGAAATATAGAATCAGTGTAAGAGCGTTGCATATCACATGTAAAACCACAATAGCAGGATAAAACTAATATCTCAGAAATAACAAGGAATTGAGTAAAGATATTTAGGTATGATATGAAATGATAAAGTGAATTCGGAAGAAAGAGACAAGAGGGGGGGGGGGGATAGCCAACGACGTTAAACAACAAATGAAAAACCTTTGAGTCAGTATGATATATATTCAGTACAAAATTTACCTGGTTTACAATTGACTTCGTTTCCAAAACGATCGTAGAAAATAGCCTCACATTTTCCACATGTATTTGTACGACAAACTGCTTTGGGATGCCTACGGCATTTTTTCTGTCGACAAGGATTGTCGGAGCATTGCACAGGTAGTTCACCGTTACGACATTCGCCTTAATAAGCAACAAATACTAATTTATTTTGTGTTTTATTAATGAAAATTGCTAAATTATTCGGCTAAATTATTCGGATCTGAAATTCTTGCAGAATGCAAATGCAAGGGATTAGCATTACATTTATTTTTATTTGGTGTTTGTATTTGTCCATTTCTCTGTGTAAAAAAACTCGGCACCATTCTTACTCACATTTTTCTGTGACTTCATTGTTGAATTGGTCAAAGAAATGAGGTATACATCCGAAGCAAGTTGGTCTGCATGTTGCTTCAATTTGTCTGGGACAAGTAGTTACATCACACGCTGGCGGTTTGCAGGCTAGCTGTCCCCCACCTGGACATCCATCATCTTTGTGAAAGATCAAAAATATTTTTAACCCCATTACAAATGCGGTTTGCAGGCTAGCTGTCCCCCACCTGGACATCCATCATCTTTGTGAAAGATCAAAAATATTTTTAACCCCATTGCAAATGCATTTTCAGATAGAAATCGTAGTAGAGAGAACATGGTTAGATAAAATATACACATTAAAAGTGTTAAAGCAAAATATGAATCTTTATAGACTCTAATAAAGTTGTTCAAAACAAAACTCACAATAAGCATCTTTGCAAACGCGGCCGCATCCGTTGGAACAGCATAACTGATCCCCTGGACAGGAGTAATCGGTACAGAGATCTGCGCAAATACCGACCGTATCCGGCGGCAGTGATGGACAACGAGGTCGCGGTATGTTAGGTACATCTAAAATATAGTAAATGAGATCGATTGCCATATTATGTAACAAAATATTGTGCAATTCAGTTTGTGTGGTTACAGTGTTTAATTGCATGCATATTTATGTGTTTCCAAATTATCCTACGTATCATAACTTTATCCTTCTCGGATTTTGTAGATTTGTTCTGTGGTCAAAGTTTTAACATGGTGACTACTGTTTGCGTTGCATTATCGTACTTCGTCCTGAGACAAGGTTGTATCGGATATTCTTCGGGTGTACAGGGGAATCGAAACAAACTGAACACATAAATTTCCAAATTACTTGAATTACGAAAATGAAGAAAACCCATTTAATACTTGAACTCCAGTTTGCGTAGGATTGTACTCTAAAAAGTCAGCAATCTATGACGTTTTGCACAAAATTTATGTTCTCTCTAGATTATTTCAAATGACCTCGGTTTTATTTTGTTGGTGACCCTGGGGTTTTTGATCGCAATTTATCTCAAGCTGACCATCTCATTTTTGCGATAGAGTGTCTCTACGACATTTGCAGGTTCAAATTGTAATAATATTAAGCCGAACATTTCACATTATACATGAATCCGACTTTTTTCATAAAAATCTTAACGTGACCTTAAATTGGTGAGGTTTGCTATCAAAAGATCGACGGTTAGATTTAACATCTTATAAATTAATGTATTACAGTGATGATTGTATTACATAATTTAAATAACAGTTTCAATAAAATAGCAGAAAAATTTACTCACAATAATTGTCATTTGCAACAGTGCACGCCACAAAAAGCAAGTTCATCGCGATGTGCAGCTTCATTTTAATAAGTGCTATGTCGTTTTCACGCCAGGTGTCGTCTGAACAATAAATAATAACTGAATGAACGTGTTTTTATGTACTTTTTCACGGGATTAATTTTATTGGTTGCACAACTGTCTGGTAATGTTGTTTTTCGCAAATAATTTTTTTTTGCCATGAACTTGTAACAGCGTCGCGAAGTCGTATGCGGTTACCGGAACAAATATGACGTAGTGACTTTCGGATTGAAAACGAGACAAACATCAGTCATCTCACCTGCGTTTGGCAGTATTTTTTAAGCTGAGAAATAGCTTAAATGAACTTATAAAGATCAACTGTTGATAAATTGCGAATATAATCTAACTTTATATCAATCCCGTGTATATTATATAGTCCATGATTGGCTGCTGGTAGTTCGCACGAAGCTGATACCGGCTCTGCTGCAGAATATCTAAGCATACATGTTGGCTTGGAAAGTGCTGCGTTCTGATGGGTTGTGTTTCCAACTATCCGAAGGTACTGTGGTGATTATGTGTCGTGGTGTCATCAATTTTGGGCTTTATTAGACCCACGGATAGATTGCAACAATCGATCTTGAATCATCATCTATTACATCACAAAAGTGAGATGGCGCGTTTTATAAATATCGTGGTATGCTAGGTTCAACAAAACACTACGTACAAACTACGGGAATTTTTCAACCACTTCGTGACTTGTTCTTCTCGAAACTCATGGGTAGAAACGTTTGCTCGTGACAAAACGCAATTAAATCTGGGCAGATTAAATACATTTTTATTGTTATGACAATTTTTAGTTTTATTCATAAATGCATGAATTAGATTACCCTCCACACGAATGTCATTTCACTTATGTTCTAACAAATAATTCCAGACTTTTCCTGTTTTTTTTTTTTTGTTAATCCAAAATAATTAGCTTGACTTCAAAACGTTACTTGTTTTCACTTCGTTTAGGTAACTAAACTAATTTAGTATGAAATTAATGGATTCAACTATTTGCAAAAATAACGCAGAGAAGAAAAATGAAATTTTGGCAAAATATATATGTACTCAGATATGATATGGGACAAAATCTGATGAAAATTTTTTGTTGCCTATATTGGAAAAGCATTGCAAAAGTGGAGATATTCATTACATTTGAAAAAGTTTTCCTCAATCACAAATAAACGGGTTCAGTATTTCATTCTTTAACAGAATCATAAAAACTTATTTGAAAACACCAAAAGTGAATATTGAAAAAATTCGAGCTGAAATGAGTTAAGGTGGTGTAGTTTAAAGCGACGCAAAAATTTTCGAGGACGCTATGCGGGCCGCATTCGGGAAAACTTAAAAGTGATCAAAATACTTCGAGTTCAGTAACATTGAATATATCGAAAAATGCGAGTTTTCCCGTTATAATCAGCCTATTGCTATGTTGAATCTGTGACGTTTTTATTATTTTTATGTTTAGAAAGATGTATGAAACACAAATGAAACGAGGTATTGTTTTTGCTGTTGGTTTCTGCTTCAGATCTGCGTTTCGTCACGGCTGTCCCATGGTCCGCGCTTAAAAATAGGGGTGTGTTTGTACTAAATTAAACGTACAAAACTTCTCTCCAGATGAGGAGTTGCTTGGTGCGAGCTTAAGGTGCGAAAATAAAATGGAAAGCGCAACCAGGGTTGCATGCGGCCTGCGTGCCAGGGTTTTGACCACCCTGAGTTAAGACATGAGTTAATCAAATCAAATCATTCGCTGGAACGAATCAGTATAGATTTCAAAGCCTTGTTTCCGATGTGTTGTTTCGTTTTGTTCGGCGAACACAGTTCTCTTTAATTTGATTCAATCATGTAAGGAATGAGGATATGACATCTGTCACAGCGATGCAGTGCCTTCCCTGTTTTGACTGGCGGGATTACCAATATTACATGTACGAGCCCGACTCTCATGCACGGTTACTTGGCTTTTAACGACAATCGAGTCTGGATTTACTTGTCTACTCTCGGAAGATATTACCCTTCATCGAAAGACTGAACCTCTCTACGATGTATCAGGAGGTAAAGTGAATATTTTAGAAGCCAACTTCAAATATGCGCTTGTGAGTCACTGAGATGGAAGCCAGGCGACTGTTTCTGTAAAAGACCTGCACCATTTTCTGACCAATCAAAAGCTGAATTTAGTGTAACATTCTTTTACAAAAATGGCATATATATTGGTTAATACTGGTTCATCTTGAATTAATTTCACTGTCAATAAAAACTGCCATAGATGATGGTATAGCACACTGCTTTCTCTCTATAGTCTAGAGTTAGAAGAATACGAAAGAGTCCGGAATGTTTTACAAATTATTTAAAATTATTTACAAAACAACTTCTCGAACACCCCACAACCATGAAATACCCACATTATAAATGCATATATTAGGAAATCAAAAACCTTAATGAAACCATCGGCTGGACATCAGCTAAGACTGTTAAAATTCGGGTGAGCGATTCAGCGCGTTACTTCGACCAGTCTTAAAACGTGATACACACTGCACAATAAAAATTAGAATTCTAAATTTATTTAATTAGGCTCAAGTATTTTCGTAAAATCACAAATCAGAATATTATTAGTTCATCATATACCGAACACATAATGAAAAGATACAATTATTCATGTTCGAGTATATTAAGCAAATTATATGAAGCAAGGATTAAATCATTGACTGTATTTATAAACAGCATACATGATTATACATGTCATCTCGAATTTAGTTGTAAAACAAATATTCATCGCAAACGATCAGGAAGAATTGTTATTATTCAGCCCTCAATTGATTACATCCATCTAATAATTTTCCAAATTATAAATAAGGCGGAGGAATAATGTCATCGCAGTCTTTAACTCGTCTATCCTGATCATCGTAAAATTCGGCTTTACACCCGCTACAACCATGTACTCGACATTTTGCTCCAGGATATTTTCTGCAGACTAATCCTTCGCAAAGGTTTATGCACTTATGCATTGATTCATTGGGGTCACACGGTCCTAAAAATAGCAAATGTCAAAGCATGTAAAGGTTTAATTAACAATATAAAAATTGATGAACAATTAAGATAAATAAAAACTGTTAACAGTGATTTCATCAAGTACTTTATTAAGCGTAACTAAGCCAATGATATTTGGGTTGCGGTCAAAAATGAGTATTCCCGAAGTATGTGAACCAAGATGGCGGACACCGAAACGTAGTATGTGTACCAGGATAGGGTCAGGCCATAACTTTATTCCAATTTTCCTCATTTTAGTTATATTACGATTTCGGGAACTAGCCAAGTGACTCCCGCAGTATTTGTAGCTGAAATTATAGCCTAACCCTAATCTGGTACACCTACTACGTTCCGGTGTCCGCCATCTTGGTTCGCATAATTCGGGAGTACCCAAATTGAATGGGCCACTCATATTCATGTATAGTAACATGATACAAGCACTCATGTTTTGACACAGCCACTTCCGAAATGAGTATGCTGGCAAAATTTACGATATCTCGGGTACTGATATTAAGATTTCGTATGCAGATGGTTTCACTCACTTGGTTTTGCAGTGCAATGAGTCCCACAGATCAAATCACAACACATGTGATCGCTTCTGCAGTCACTGTTTGTATCACAAATCTTCGGACAAGATATTTGAGAAACTGGTGCAATAGGTGCTGGGCAGCGATAGACTTGGTCTAAAGAAAGAATGCACTGATAGAAAATGATTTCCATAAGCCGACGACCAGAATACCTAATCAAGGCTGCTACAAATGACGGATTTATGTATTTTAAGACCACGTGTAGCCAGAATATTGTGCGTACTGTATTTTCTGTATTTTCAACAGGCATCTCGCATGAAGGCCATTTCCTCGGTATCGAGTATTCAGACAGGTGAAGATGTATATATATATATATAACATGCTACCAATTTTTGATTGTGCAATTCAACATGCACAGTAACATTCATGCACTTCATTCTTACCAGGCACTTCTTGGCATTCTGTACCGCGTCCATTCGAGCAACATATCTTGCCATTACGACAATCAAGATTTGATTGGCACCGCTCTCTACGACGTCCAGGCTTTTCCCTTGCTATTAAACATCTAGGATCCGTGACTAAAGTTCGTAAGAAAATACAGTAAGTAACTACTGAAACATTAAAAAATATTGAAATTTCTTAAGATTTTAGTTTCGGCATTATGGAATAATTTTCTACTGCTCTAAAAGCCAAAAACCGTTGGTTCCAGATTAAAAAGTGACATACGGTGTTGTGGTATGGTTACAAGACTTCAAAATTACTTTGTACCTATCAATGGATCTTTTATATCTCAAATCTAATCCTGAAGTATTTTTAATACATGTTGGTCATAATGTGTAACGTAATTTTCCAAAATGCGGCTAACAGTACTTAAGAGATTAACGTAATCTCAGATAGTATTATTGAATTGTATTAAAGTAAATAAAATTGGCTTTAAAGCTGACGAACAAACATGTGTGCTGTGAATAATTTTGCATGAATACGTACTACTAGAGACAATTTTTCTGAACTTATTATGTATGGTCATTTTAAAACAATTTTTACCCGTAAACTACTAGGCTCTAATACACGAATGGCTTTCTAGAAGCGTATGTTCTTTCTAAAAGCTTATGTTCTATTCCACAAGATAACGCTAACGATCAATTCATGTTTGCAAGCCGACGCGCGCAAAATTGTAAAAAAAAAATTAAAGTTTCTTGCATGTGCGTCTATTGAACGCTAAGTGATAATTTCAATATCTAATTATCTTTATTTCTAATGTTTTCTTATGTAATTTACCGATAAAGATGCCATCATATTGTTTTAAATAGATTTGAGCCCCATCGTTGAACAAAGTAATTCACTAATTCTAGAACTCAAATAGGCAATACTCACATGGAGGTGATATACAGTTTTGTTGACATCCGTTGCTGCAACAGATATCCCCCTTTCGGCAAACATCATTAGAGAAGCAGGATGGCTGAGGGCAAATTCGAAACGGGAGTGTTCTTATAATTTCTGGATCTGGCGGGGGGCAACGTTTATCTAAAATATTTTTCAAGATATAAACAATAAACTAATTACATATTTTCAGTACAGTGTTCCGCATAACGTTGTGCTCTTATAATTAGCGCAATTTTACCAATATGGCAATATTAACGGATTTGTCCATTGTCATGTAACAATTATTACATCGCTTAAGAATAAGATAACTGATTTCAAATTGTAACTAATCAATTAAACTATATATTCTTACCCAATGGTGGATATACACAAGTTGAACCACATCCGTTGCTACAGCAGATTTGACCTTCCCGCTTGCAGTCACTGTTAGAAGAGCATGAAAAGATGCAGATTCCGGCTTGATCTCTTGGAACACTGGGGCATTTTGGATCAAATTCTTAAAACAAAAAATAACAATCACATCGTAAATAAAAATCATGCTGCTAATATAGCAAAGAAAAAAGTGGGAACTGCATGAAATACTGATAGAAAATACATGGAAACCTAGTAAACGAAAGTCTTGTTAAGTAATTTCTATAAATAAGTAATTATGTCATTATGCCACAAAATATGAGACCCAGATGTACAAAAGTTTTAAAGTAGTGTGCCCACTGCTCATATTGATGCTTCTAAAACGGCGGTTAGGTATAACTGGAAACAATTTATAATAACACATACTGTATCCGCCGCATTTAATTTGGCATTTCTGCAAAGTTTTGAAGTTGTTGTCATTTCCCTGACACCCTCCGTAGATGAATTGTTCACATGCTTGACTTTTAGTGTTGAAAAAATACCTTGAAATTGCGGCTTCGCAGGGTCCCGAATCCTTTGGTTGCTTACAAACTGACATAAAATGAATTATATATCATACAAATTTGATCGTGAGAATAACCATATATGTATCCACAGGCTGATGCACCATAAAAATAACTGTGGAACTCGTGAATCAGTAAACTAACTAGATACATGAATTGTAAGGCGGTTTGGAAATGACGGCTTGTACTGACGAAATGTCATCACTATCAGCAGATTTATATTTGTATCAGACACATAGTAGATTGATTCACATTTGTAGAATAATTTCATCGGATCTTTGGTACAAAGCTCCTGCTAAAAACACCACAGGCAACGATTAAAATATGAATGTTTGTAATTATCTGGGTAAGTAAAGCAGATTGCGGTGGAAATCCATATTTTCAAATAATTTCTAATCCTAATCCTAACTTTAACTGAACAATTACAAATTTGGTATTTTAAAACGTGGCAGGGGTGTTTTTCTCCAATCTCACATCTCTGCATTAGTGGCGAGGTCTTCGTACGAAAGGGCCGTCTCATCTTCTGCTGAACAACTCGACCAAAGCATCTTTATCAGAATTGAAACTTCTCGAAATAATTCTAATTCATTTTGGTATTTTTATACAACAATATATTACACTGTACTCACTATCGTGACCACAAGTCCTTTGACATTTTTTCAAAGTTTTGAAATTATTTTCGTTTCCTTGGCAACCGCCATAGATGAACCGTTCGCATCTTCTAGATTCGGTGTTGTAATAATATCTTGGAATAAGGGCTTCGCACGGTCCTGGATCTTTTTCTTGCTTGCATACTAATATAAAGAGAAATGTAGTGACAGAATATAACACTGAAATACGTAGGCCTATGTATGAATCTATAGCCATTCTCGCGAGAAAAATAGGACTGGAATAAATCTGCAGCTCTTGGGGAAATATATCATATTGTATATAGACCAAGTGTAAGAGCGTTGCATATCACATGTAAAACCATAATTGCAAGATGAAGCTAATATCATATATATAGTAATAAAATAAGTGAAGGTATTTAGGTATGGTGTGAGATGAAGAAATAAATGAAGTGAATTAGGAAGAAAGAGACAAGAGGGGAGGGAGATAGTCAACGACGATAAATAATAAACGAAAAACCACTGAGGCAGTACGGTAATTTTTAGTAAAAAAATTTACCTGGTTCACAATTGACTTCGTTTCCAAAACGATCGTAGAAAATAGCCTCACATGTTCCACACGTATTTGTACGACAAACTGCTTTGGGATGCCTACGGCATTTTTTCTGTCGACAAGGATTATCAAAGCATTGTACAGGTTGTTCGCCGTTGAGACATCCGCCTTAAGCAACAAATTCAAAAATATTTTGTATAATTACATGTTGATGAAAAAGTTAATGTAAACATAAACTCCCAAGCGTATTGTATATAAATTTTAGAATAATTCATATAGTCAGCAATGGAAATATTTATATTTGATAAGATTCAATTTAATTATTAGCGTTTGTATCGGATAAAATTTTGTCCAATATATTTAAAACAAAAAATTTATGGCGAAATTATTTGGTCCTAAACTTCTTGCAGAATGCAAATGCGAGTCATTAGCAGTAGGCTACATTTTTTATTTAGTGTTTGTATTTGTCCATTTCTCTGTGTAAAAAACTCGGCACCATACTACTCACATTTTTCTGTGACTTCATTGTTGAATTGGTCGAAGAAATGAGGTATACACCCGAAGCAAGTTGGTCTGCATGTTGTTTCAATTTGTCTGGGACAAGTAGTTACATCACACGCTGGCGCTTTGCAGAATAGTTTGTTCCCGCTTGGACATCCATCATCTCCGCAAAAGATCAAAAATATTTTAAACCCCATCACAAATGCATTTTTAGATAGAAATCGACAGAAAACAAATATTGTGGTAGATAGAACATGATGGGATTAAATATATATACACATTAAAGGTGTTGAAGCAGAATATGAGTCCTGAGTCCCCCATGAAGTTGTTCAAAATAAAAACTCACAATAGGCATCTTTGCAAACGTGACCGCATCCGTTGGAACAGCATAACTGATCCCATGGACAGGAGTAATCGGTACAACGTTCTACGCAAATACCGACCGTATCCGGCGGCAGTGGAGGACAACGAGGTTGCGGTATGTTAGGTACATCTAAATAGTAAATGAGATCACCATAATATATCGCCAAATATTGTACAATTTAGAGACAAGTTGTATCGGATATTTTTTGGATGTACAGGGGAATCAAAAAACCGAACCCATAAAGTTCATAATTACTTGAATTACGAAAATGAAGAAAACTCATTTAATACTTGAACTCCAATTAGTGTATAGTTGTGCTCTCTAAAGTCAGCGATCTATTACGCTTTGCACAAAGTTTATGTTCTGTCTAGTCTGGATTATTTCAAATGGCTTGGTTTTGTTTTGCTGGTGTGTCTCTGCGTCATGTGCAAGTGCAAATCGTATCAATGTTAGACCGAACATTTTACATAATACATAAATCTAACTTTTCAATTAAAAGTCTTAACGTGACCCTAAATTGGTTGAGTTTGCTATTAAAAGATTGACTATTAGATTTAAAATCTTATAAATCAATCTATTACATTGTGATTGATGTATTACATAATTTAATACCAGATTCAATAAAATAGCAGAAAAATTTACTCACAATAATTGGCATTTGCAACAGTGAACGCCACAAACAGCAGGTTCATCGCGATGCGCAGCTTCATTTTGATGATCGGTTGTTTCACGTCAGATGTCGTCTGAAAAATAAATAAAAATTGAATGAACGTGTTTCTTAAGTACTATTTTACGGGATTAATTTCATCGGTTGCACAACTGTATGGTAATGTTGTTTTTCGCGAATAGTTTTTTGTATTAGGTAATAATCAGGAACTTGTAACAGCGTCGCGAAGTCGTATGCGGTTACCGGAACAAATATGACGTAGTGGCTTTCGGTTTGAAAACTAAACAAACATCAGTCATCTCACCTGCGTTTGGCAGTATTTTTTAAGCTGAGAAATAGCTTAAATGAACTTATAAAGATCAACTGTTGGTAAATTGCGAATATAATCTAACTTTATATCAAGCCCGTGTATATTATATAGTCCATGATTGGCTGCTGGTAGTTCGCACGAAGCTGATACCGGCTCTGCTGCAGAATATCTAAGCATACATGTTGGCTTGGAAAGTGCTGCGTTCTGATGGGTTAGGTTTCCAACTATCCGAAGGTACTGGGATGATTATGTGTCGTGGTGTCATAAATTTTTGGCTTAAACCCACGGATTAACTGCAACAATCGATCTTGAATCATAATTTATCTCATCACAATAGTGAGATTGCGCGTTTTATAAATATCGTTGTATGCTAGGTTCAACATAACACTACGTACAAACTATGGGAATTTTTCAACCACCCTATGACTTGTTCTTCTCGAAACTCCCGGGTAGAAACGTTTGCTCGTGACAATACGCAATTAAATCTGGGCAGATTAAATACATTTTTATTGTTATGACAATTTTTAGTTTTATTCATAAATGTCTGAAATAGATTACCCTCCACACGAATGTCATTTCACTTATGTTCTAACAAATAATCTCAGACTTTTCCTGTTTTTTTTTTTTTTTTGTTAATCCAAAATAATTAGCTTGACTTCAAAATTCGAGCCTGACAATGTCGTGTATTTTCGTTTCTTGTTTTCACTTCGTTTAGGTAACTAAACTAATTTAGTATGAAATTAATGGATACAACTATTTGCAAAAATAATGCAGAGAAGAAAAATGAAAGTTTGGCAAAAAATTATGTTTTCAGATATGATATGGGACTAAAATCTGATGAAATTTTTTTTTTTAAATGTTGCCTATATTGAAAAAGCATTGCAAAAGTGGAGATATTCATTACATTTAAAAAAGTTTTCCTCAATCACAAATAAACGGGTTCAATATTTCATTCTTCAACAGAATAATAAAAGCATAATTGAAAACACCTAAAAGTGATCAAAATACTTCGAGTTCAGTTACTTTGAATATATCAAAAAATGCGAGTTTCCCGTTATAATCAGCCTACTGTTATGTTTCATCTGTGACGTTTTTATTATTTTTATGTTTAGAAAGATGTATGAAACACAAATAAAACGATGTATTGTTTTTGCTGTTGGTTTCTGCTTCAGATCTGCGTTTCGTCACGGCTGTCCCATGGTCCGCGCTTAAAAATAGGGGTGTGTTTGTACTAAATTAAACGTACAAAACCTCTTTCCAGATGAGGAGTTGCTTGATGCGAGTTTAAAGTGCAAAAATAAAATGAAAAGCGCAACCAGGGTTGCATGCTGCCTGCGTGCCAGGATTTTGACCACCCTGAGTTAAGACATGAGTTAATCAAATCAAATCATCCGCTGGAAAGAATCAGTATAGATTTCAAAGACTTGTTTCCGATGTGTTGTTTCGTTTTGTTCGGCGAACACAGTTCTTTTTAATTTGATTCAATTATGTTAGGATATGACATCTGTCACAGCGATGCAGTGCCTTCCCTGTTTTGACTGGTGGGATTACCAATATTACATGTACGAGCCCGACTCTCATGCACGGTTACTTGGCTTTTAACGACAATCGAGTCTGGGTTTATTTGTCTACTCTCGAAAGATATTACACTTCATCGAAAGACTGAACCTCTCTACGATGTATCAGGAGGTAAAGTGAATATTTTAGAAGCCAACTTCAAATATGCGATTGTGAGTCACTGAAATGGAAGCCAGGCGACTGTTTCTGTAAAAAAGACCTGCAGCATTTTCTGACCAATCAAAAGCTGAATTTAGTGTAACCTTCTTTTACAAAAAATGGCATATTGGTTGATACTGGTTCATCTCGAATTAATTACACTGTCAATGAGAACTGTCGTAAATGATGGTATAGCACACTGCTTTCTCTCTATAGTCTAGATTTAGAAGAATAGGAGAGAGTCCGGAATGTTTTACCTTAAATTATTTACAAAACAACTCCTCGAACGCCCCACAACCATGAAATACTCACATTATAGTTGCATATATTATGAAATCAAAAACCTTTATGAAACCATCGGCTGGATATTAGCTAAGAGTGTTGAAATTCGGGTGAGCGACTCAGCGCGTTACTTCGACCAATCTTAAAACGTGATACACACTGCACAACAAAAATTAGAGTTCTAAATTTATTTAATTAGGCTCAAGTATTTTCGTAAAATAACGAATCAGAATTTTATTAGTTCATCATATACCGAACACATAATAAAAAGATACAATTATTCATGTTCAAGTATATAAAGCAAATTATATGAAGCAAGGATTAAATCATTGACGTTATTTATAAACAGCATACATGATTATACATGTCATCTCGAATTTAGTTGTAAAACAAATATTCATCGCAAACGATCAGGAAGAATTGTTATTATTCAGCCCTCAATTGATTACATCCATCTAATAATTTTCCAAATTATAAATAAGGCGGAGGAATAATGTCATCGCAGTCTTTAACTCGTCTATCCTGATCATCGTAAAATTCGGCTTTACACCCGCTACAACCATGTACTCGACATTTTGCTCCAGGATATTTTCTGCAGACTAATCCTTCGCAAAGGTTTATGCACTTATGCATTGATTCATTGGGGTCACACGGTCCTAAAAATAGCAAATGTCAAAGCATGTAAAGGTTTAATTAACAATATAAAAATTGATGAACAATTAAGATAAATAAAAACTGTTAACAGTGATTTCATCAAGTACTTTATTAAGCGTAACTAAGCCAATGATATTTGGGTTGCGGTCAAAAATGAGTATTCCCGAAGTATGTGAACCAAGATGGCGGACACCGAAACGTAGTATGTGTACCAGGATAGGGTCAGGCCATAACTTTATTCCAATTTTCCTCATTTTAGTTATATTACGATTTCGGGAACTAGCCAAGTGACTCCCGCAGTATTTGTAGCTGAAATTATAGCCTAACCCTAATCTGGTACACCTACTACGTTCCGGTGTCCGCCATCTTGGTTCGCATAATTCGGGAGTACCCAAATTGAATGGGCCACTCATATTCATGTATAGTAACATGATACAAGCACTCATGTTTTGACACAGCCACTTCCGAAATGAGTATGCTGGCAAAATTTACGATATCTCGGGTACTGATATTAAGATTTCGTATGCAGATGGTTTCACTCACTTGGTTTTGCAGTGCAATGAGTCCCACAGATCAAATCACAACACATGTGATCGCTTCTGCAGTCACTGTTTGTATCACAAATCTTCGGACAAGATATTTGAGAAACTGGTGCAATAGGTGCTGGGCAGCGATAGACTTGGTCTAAAGAAAGAATGCACTGATAGAAAATGATTTCCATAAGCCGACGACCAGAATACCTAATCAAGGCTGCTACAAATGACGGATTTATGTATTTTAAGACCACGTGTAGCCAGAATATTGTGCGTACTGTATTTTCTGTATTTTCAACAGGCATCTCGCATGAAGGCCATTTCCTCGGTATTGAGTATTCAGACAGGTGAAGATATATATATATATATATAACATGCTACCAATTTTTGATTGTGCAATTCAACATGCACAGTAACATTCATGCACTTCATTCTTACCAGGCACTTCTTGGCATTCTGTACCGCGTCCATTCGAGCAACATATCTTGCCATTACGACAATCAAGATTTGATTGGCACCGCTCTCTACGACGTCCAGGCTTTTCCCTTGCTATTAAACATCTAGGATCCGTGACTAAAGTTCGTAAGAAAATACAGTAAGTAACTACTGAAACATTAAAAAATATTGAAATTTCTTAAGATTTTAGTTTCGGCATTATGGAATAATTTTCTACTGCTCTAAAAGCCAAAAACCGTTGGTTCCAGATTAAAAAGTGACATACGGTGTTGTGGTATGATTACAAGACTTCAAAATTACTTTGTACCTATCAATGGATCTTTTATATCTCAAATCTAATCCTGAAGTATTTTTAATACATGTTGGTCATAATGTGTAACGTAATTTTCCAAAATGCGGCTAACAGTACTTAAGAGATTAACGTAATCTCAGATAGTATTATTGAATTGTATTAAAGTAAATAAAATTGGCTTTAAAGCTGACGAACAAACATGTGTGCTGTGAATAATTGAGCATGAATACGTACTACTGGAGACAATTTTTCTGAACCTATTATGTATGGTCATTTTAAAACAATTTTTACCCGTAAACTACTAGGCTCTAATACACGAATGGCTTTCTAGAAGCGTATGTTCTTTCTAAAAGCTTATGTTCTATTCCACAAGATAACGCTAACGATCAATTCAAGTTTGCAAGCCGACGCGCGCAAAATTGTAAAAAAAAAAATTAAAGTTTCGAGCATGTGCTTCTATTGAACGCTAAGTGATAATTTCAATATCTAATTATCTTTCTTTCTAATGTTTTCTTATGTAATTTACCGATAAAGATGCCATCATATTGTTTTAAATAGATTTGAGCCCCATCGTTGAACAAAGTAATTCACTAATTCTAGAACTCAAATAGGCAATACTCACATGGAGGTGATATACAGTTTTGTTGACATCCGTTGCTGCAACAGATATCCCCCTTTCGGCAAACATCATTAGAGAAGCAGGATGGCTGAGGGCAAATTCGAAACGGGAGTGTTCTTATAATTTCTGGATCTGGCGGGGGGCAACGTTTATCTGGAATATTTTTCAAGATATAAACAATAAACTAATTACATATTTTCAGTACAGTGTTCCGCATAACGTTGTGCTCTTATAATTAGCGCAATTTTACCAATAAGGCAATATTAACGGATTTGTCCATTGTCATGTAACAATTATTACATCGCTTAAGAATAAGATAACTGATTTCAAATTGTAACTAATCAATTAAACTATATGTTCTTACCCAATGGCGGATATACACAAGTTGAACCACATCCGTTGCTACAGCAAATTTGACCTTCCCGCTTGCAGTCACTGTTAGAAGAGCATGAAAAGATGCAGATTCCGGCTTGATCTCTTGGAACACTGGGGCATTTTGGATCAAATTCTTAAAACAAAAAATTTCAATCACATCGTAAATAAAAATCATGCTGCTAATAGAGCAAAGAAAAAAAGTGGGAACTGCATGAAATACTGATAGAAAATACATGGAAACATAGTAAACGAAAGTCTTGTTAAGTAATTTCTTTAATAAGTAATTATGTCATTATGCCACAAAATATGAGACCCAGATGTACAAACGTTTTAAAGTAGTGTGCTCATATTGATGCTTCTAAAACGGCGGTTAGGTATAACTGGAAACAATTTATAATAACACATACTGTATCCGCCGCATTTAATTTGGCATTTCTGCAAAGTTTTGAAGTTGTTGTCATTTCCCTGACATCCTCCGTAGATGAATTGTTCACATGCTTGACTTTTAGTGTTGAAAAAATACCTTGAAATTGCGGCTTCGCAGGGTCCCGAATCCTTTGGTTGCTTACAAACTGACATAAAATGAATTATATATCATACAAATTTGATCGTGAGAATAATCATATATGTATCCACAGGCTGATGCACC